TTTGGCCAAGCTATTCATAACAATATTAACACACAATTCATAACGTGCGCATGTTTCAAACATCAGACGCATAGTTGGTTTGAGAACTCGTCTAGACTCCAAAAAGATCAAATCCATGGCAAACTATAGAAAACGAAATCTGGCTCGGTGACAATGCCGACAATGCACTCAACTCACAACCCTCTAAAGTTGAGAATTCAAATCCTAATTTGGTGTCGCGTCGGTGCAATATCCCCCTGGGGTAAACAAGTATCGCTGTGGGAAGCCATCAGCAGTGGTTGTCCTATGGAGAAACCCCTTCCCCAGCTGCTAAAGGAAGGGGGTGTGACTATTACGGAAGACAGAGCCAACAATGAAGATTCACCTCTTCCATAGTAGTTGATTTCATATGGTTCTTAGTATGGGATTGCTCCATTCACTCACAGTGTATTCACTCTCAAATGTGTGTGTTGGCAGTGTTCATCTCCATTGGTGGCTCTGAGAAATTGTTTTGGAATTGCACATTCCCTTCCCATTGTCAGAGGTAGTATTTCCAATGGACAACCACTGTTTGACGTTACGTTCAGTAAAGTAATTTTAATACCCTTTAATTGTTAGGGAACATTCCCCTAATTTGAGTATGTTATACAACGTCTACCCCCCTATTGAAAAAAATACACGTAAAAATGATACATTTTAATGTGTAAAATTATAGAAAAGAGTAGTATGGTAACATTTTATACTTAAGTTACATACCGCATTATTGTAATGGTTAAACACGGCATCTGGCATGTATGTTGTATATTTGTCCTATGGAGAGACCCCTTCCCCAGTTTAGAAATGTGGAATTTCCAACGTCTTGCTGAGGGCCCACTTGTATGAGCAGCGTAATATAGGGCACTATAGACGCGTTTGAGAAAACTGAACACGAACGATGGTGGCATTGTTGGGAAAACAATGCTGCGAACGGTGATATGACACCTGCAGGTAGCTGTGCAACTCATATCGAGTGAAACTCCTTACCTCGTATTATTTTTATCTCTACCCCTAATCGATCCGTGGGAATGCCTACTGTCCATAGGTGGGTTATTTCTATTTTACATGTTTATACACGATTAATAGAGGTCAATTGGAAGTGGTCTCCTGTAAATGTTACATTTATCTGGTGACCCTGTCTTTTCACAGTTAAGAATAGTCCCCTAAGAAGTGCCGGCAGATCGTGTCTATTATCTGCGTGCATAGATATCTGGAGTTAATTTCGTGCATAAGTGCCAATAATAGGATATGGCAATTGTGTCCCCTATAGCGACACGAATACATTGAGTTTCACTGAATATATGTAGCGTAAATGCTCGATAACGTCCTATAAATTGACACAGCAATCGTTTGCTACAAGTCACTGCGTATATATATTTAATGCTGGCCAATATCTAATTTACACTGTCAGCATCTAAATGCCCCTACACGTTAAGATTACTTTACGTGTACTATGCAACAGGTCAGGTAATAATTATTTCCCCATGTTAAAATCCAAGCGGGCACTAATCTATTCTTGCACGTGGCAGGGCAAATATGTTCATGAGTCAATGTGCTCTGAGTGTTTTAACAACCACTAGCGCCACATGCTGGACCATATGAAAAAAAAGCACCACTGGTAAAGGATTCATCTTCTTTGGTTCTTTCGGTAAAGTCACGTAGAATGAGAATAAAATAATAAATTGATTATTATTGTGTTATTTTATTTGATCAATTTATTATTTTATTCTCATTCTACGTGACTTTACCGAAAGAACCAAAGAAAATGAATCCTTGCAGTCACGAAAGCTTCAAATCGAAAATTAAATGGTAAAGGATTATTTTCAATTGTGCACTGGTACAAAAAACATGAAATTAACTGTCATTAGCATCAGTTCATAGAAATTGTAAACAAACTATGACCATGACCAACTTAAGGTAAAATAATATTTCCTTTTTGGAGGATTTTATTGGCCTAGGTTAATAAAAATGTTTTAATTTTTGCTCAGATTTATTGCCATATAGTGAATCAGCCCATCTGCCATCAGGACGCGGTGCCAACCCAATTGGTTCAAATCACTAAATTAAAGCCGATTGTGCCAAACACAGCCTTGCCAATTGTCATAAACGATAAATACTGTAATCTCATGCCTGTTTGATAACAGGTGCTGTTTTAACTGTCCATGTGTGCGAATCGTATGCAAACATCTAAACAAATATAGTGCTGTAAACATATCAGTCCAACTGATTTTATTTTTGTGCTTCTTACACCTGCAATAATATTTATAGGATTGAGGATTAAAGTATTTGTGAACTCTAGTCATAAACATAACATAATTACGTTGCAAGAAATAAGTACTATATTTGTATAAAAATTTTAACTGGAAAGTAGCCAATATATTAAGATAGCATCCACATTTTCAGCTACTGCAATAGTCTAAGTTGATTCACCATCATCATTGTCAGCAGAAGCCATTGTCTATCCACTGTTAGATGAAGACTTCCACACACCATTGTCATCCCTCATGGTCTCGCGATGCCACGATATTCCAGCTCACTCCTGCACAGTGGTCGTCCTTCCAGGCACGTTCTGTCCCACAGGAACACATACCTTCACGCGGTTTCATAATAAAATACAAGCCAGGCATAATGGTAAATAATGGTATTTGACATTAATTTTGTTTTTTCTCAGATTTAACTGCTAATAATAAAATCTTTTATTTTGTATGTGCAGAGACAAATATTAAGGAGACTTATTGTCTATCGATGGCTTCACATACATTCTCCACAATAACGCTAATTATATATTATTTTGTGTTACTGAAAATATGTCCAAAGATAGTGTTTCCCACTGTTTTGAATATCGAGTCACAATGTTTTAATAAAGCAGTTGAGTTGTTGCTCTGGAGACTGGGAGATCGTTGATCGATGTTTGGTCACTGGGTTCACGGCATAAGTCGTGATTTCTCACTTAACTAGTGGGCCACGTGAAGGCAGCCATCGTCCACTCCACATACTTTAAGGTCAGCTTTGAACCAAAGCTCTAACCACCTCTAGGTAACTCGTGGAATATTCCCAATCCGTGCTTAATGGTCCTTAGCAGACACACCAGCCAAGCCATGTACGTTTCTAAAGATTTAAACGCAGAGGTGCAACCCTGTAATTTCTTATTCACACCACTAGAGTCCCTCTAGAGAGCCCCCTCTAGGGGGCATTTGGCCTACTCTTCCTCCCTGGTCAGATGTCTTGGAAGAAGTGGGGATACCTACGCTTTACCCTGCCACACGTGATCTGCCGATCGACTAACTGTGGTCCACTTATTTATACTTCTGTGTTGACAGAGGCTGGGGGATTTAAGACACTGACTTAATTTTTGTAACTGCCGTGCTGAGGGATCAAAGCAAACTGGCGACTTTTAGGATTGTACATTCAGTGTACTTACCACTACACCATCGCAGCCTCCCACATTATTTTTACTCTCATTTTAAACAATGAGAGTTACCATTGGTCAGTGGCACCCAGAGACACATACTAAAACACTCGTGGATGGTCGCAAATGGAAACTGCGAGGGGGAGGCATTGAAAATGTGGCCAGTTTCATCTATTTTTAATAATATTCATGATATTGAAACCAATTGATAACCCTGTCAATCTAATGCTGGATGAAGGCATTCCCAGATCATCAACTGGTCAGTGCCAGTTGATGAAGGGAAGGGGCCCAGGACCAGTTCAGATATTCCTTGCCGCTGGTGTTAGCCATGGCTGGGAATTGAACTGAGATGTTTGGGTTCGTCGTGTGGTGCGCTAACCACTGTGTCACCGCTCAAACCCCTCAGCAGACTGTAATACAGAACACAGTAAAATATTATTATTTACATAGAGCAGCATAAAGTAATAAAATGCCTCTGATTATAATGCTTGTAAAACATTTTAAATAGTTAACGTTATAAATGACTCCGACAAGAGAAGGAAACTACGATTTTTTTAATAACTTTTAAATTTCCATTTTGGCCTGTTTGAAATGCTTCTGCTTAAAAAAAGCCCGCTGCAATGAATCTTTATGCACATTTCCATGTTGTTGTTTTCAGACCATTAACTTATCTACGTCGGCTTCTTACAAGCAAAATACTGTTTAATTGTGAAGAATGACATTCAATAGATTCCCCTGATTTCGCTTGTGCCGAAGTCCATTTTGAATTCACGGGACAGCATTTTACATTTCCCCTGCATTAAATGAAATGTCCAGCAGAGACCACTATTGCATCTTGAGATAAACAAATACCGCTATGCATAACACGTTTCATTTCCCCTAGCCAGCTTGAACCTTTCCATCTCCAGTGCAATTCTACTGACTACAAGTGTAAAACTGTCAGACTCCTAACTCATATTTCATGGTTAATGTGCACACAGCTCCCAACTCAAAGGCTGGACACTGCGCATTGTGCTACCATGACACTGGATTAACAAACACAATCCACAGTTTCTGCGTTGCAAAGCCATAACACTAAATCACCATCTGCATTACTGCCAGCTTTCATTATTGTGATCCGGCGACTTCCTGGGCAGCTGTTAGCTGTATGATGGCAGGAGCTAACCCACACTGTTATACGCAGTGTTATGGACACGGAAGGTGCACCAGTATACTAGGAAGTGTGGCCAAATGCACATGGTCGAACGAACAAATATTTCAGAATGCTTTGGTACCAATCCCCCACGAAACAAGAATGTTCCCCTGAGATGTATAGCCGTTGACACGTGTGGATTTTTGTTAGGAGACGATTATAGCAATTACATTTCAGCACGGTGAATGTGTAAATAAAGTAATTAGAAGTTATGAGAGTTTACCTGTAAATTTGGGGTTATTTGTGCGTTCGTGTACATGATTAATGCTTGTGCATATAAAGTTAGATCGTTTGGTTTTATTTTGTTTTGACAATCTGCTACATTTGTTTTGAAATTTTCTGTGAAGGCCAATAATATTGTGTGTCCGTGTGTCTGCCTTGCAGTGCATGAAGCAAGCACAGTACAATTGCTCTGACGAAACATCAGGCTGGCAAGCAGACTCTTGGTCGCCATGCTTTCTCTGTGAAGACAATCTTGGGTGCTCGTCAAGGGAAACTCACAATTCAAGTAGGCTAACCCCACAAATAGCATAGCTTAACATCAAAACAGACATGAACACTACAGTTTATCGCTTTCGTTGAATCGGTGTTAATTTTCTACCTCTTAATAAATTATGCTGACAGTACTTCATGGCGCTATTACTGGTTGCCTCCATTTAAATAAAAACACATCCTCATTACAATGAAAGCCATCTGGCATTGCACACACGGTAGTTTTATTTACAGCCTATAAGCAAACCACAATTCAAAGTTCTGGAAACCTGAATCTGTATCACGCCAGTGAGCATCAGGCGTGAAGAGATAGTCCAGCGAGATTATTTTTCAGTAGCTATGTGTGCAAAGGTAAAACTGCAAAACAGTTACCGTGCAGCTTGGTGAAATAGTCTGAACAATTCTTAAATTGCCTGCAAAATATGACCTTAATTCAGAAAAAAACCTTCCGCTAAACTGCTCTGCACCTGTAATTGATTGTGTGTTGTCAAGATTACTGCCAATGGAGATGGCCGTGTAAGTGCCGGAGAGCAAAAACGTCGTCATTTCACTGAGCCGGCACCACCAAGACACGTGATTACATTGAGTTCTCAAGTGTAGTGAGCTCACGGCCTAAGCCTGGTCACCAATGTAACAAACATTTTTTTAGGGAATGTTTAAAGTGTGTCTCTGGTTGTGCACGAAGATGCCTGTTGAACTGACTCCATGTGTAGTCCTACGATGACAACTTCTGTGGCCATTCTCTCGCACGAGGTGGTGCATTGCCAGCTGTGAAAGTACCAAGTGAAAATATCAAGCGATTGGGAGAAGAAGAGCCCCAAAAAGCACTACTTATTTCTTGTAGAATTACCAGAAACTCCAACATAAAGTATCCATGAGGACCTACCAACAATCACATTCTCTAGGACACTGGGCTCAATGTGCACGTGATCCCTTCAGCGTCTATCTTAAATGTTTTTTTTATATATATACAGGTCCATTTCAGATGTATTGTTCAATGGGTTTTTGAGTGATATCTAAAAAGGAAATTCAATACAAATAATGCATAACCACTTTTAATGCATTTGTTGACATATTTATATATTCATGCACTCATTTATTTGTTTTTATATTCAAGCATTTCATATTTATACGAAGCGGCTGGATAGTCTAATGGCCAAGATGATTGCCACTGAACCATTTTGCATGGGTTCAACGGATCTTACATTGCATTTGCCCCTGTGATGACACAATCCATTGCTCACACCCCAAATGATCTGTAGGTTAAAGTCCCATGAACATCATTTGCAAAAGTGGCCTGTTGTGTGCCACGATCAATTCCCAAGTTTGGTAAATTTTGACGTTGAAAAAAGACAACAAGGTGTCTCTACACTCAAATGAGAATTTGTCAGTAATCAGCATCTTTGGAAACTTTGAGCCAGTAGTGAAATTTCCACATTCCTGTGGCAGGGAGCAGTTTATCCATTGTACAACTGCCATTGATTTCAGACGACAAAAAAGTACCCATTTTAGCAACCCTTGACAATGATGGGTAGAGTCAACCCCCCAACCAGGATTTTAACTCAAACCATTCTGCTGAATATGTCACGTTAATATTTTACAAAATAAAAATTAAATACACCGGGTAAATCTGCCTTTAGTATATAATATGCATTGCCGATTGCTGAATGTCTTTAAAACAACAAATCTTCTTAAAGAGGACATGTACGACCTGTAACACAGGGCGGTATGTATGTTGTTGGTGTACAAAACACGAATAAATAAATGTTTCAAAAATAATCATTTAACCTTTTCAGGTAGAGGGATATAGGAATGGCTTTAGGAGATACGAATGGCAGATGAGTGGTTATGGGTGTGAATAGCTAATTCCCTGTGATAAACAAACACTTACAGCACCGTCATCTTCACCACGCTCTGGCATAGATGTGACAGGAATGGAGCAGATGGTCATGCATCCGTTGTCATTTGCTTTTAACTAATAAAACAATTGCGTGAATTTTCATGTGCCAGGTATGGGTGAAGGTTAACTCAATAAAGGTCCAAATATCATATTGGTGTGAGTCATTTGAAGCCATCTGTCATGAGACACGTACAAAATATTGGCCGCTTGACGCTACTGAATTTAACATGAAGAGTAACGCAGATGCGTTACAATATGGAGCTCAGAGAGTGTTCTTATCAAGCGATGAATTACTGATTACCAATTACTTTGGAGCTTTCATTATGAACTCAGTCACGGTAAAGAGGAATACTGCCTATTGCAATTCATTTCATCGACAGTTATAGATGTGTGTATACATTTAGAAAGTGTAATAAATACTAAATTTAATTTGTATCATCATGATTGAACAGGTCACCCTTTCCTTGGTCCCTTGATCCTCTCTTATTCAAGATTAAATAAGGAAAATCCTCAAAGCCACTTCCTACTGTCAGGAAGAATCAATGCCCGGGTCTGGATGTACACTGCCACTGCTATTCGTGCTATTCCCCATGTACTAACGCAACTGTGTGCAGTCATCTTTATTGGACATTTTATATCTGTAACGTATCTGTCTCACTTGTAATATATATATAGTTTACACGTACGAAGTATACACACACAAATGTAGCATATAAGCACACGGATATACATGGCGAATATATACACATAATCCATACCATATGGCGCTTAATCACACCATATGGAATAGGCTTGGCTTGAATGTTCAACAAATGCTTCTCCACTTACATTCCTTGCACATGTAGATACTTTCTAGCAATGTGTGTTTCCCATGGCATCTCACCTTTCTCAACATTCAATATGTCAGAATAAGCTTTATCGCCATCGGTCTTGATCAGTGCACAGCAGGATGAAGGCTGTCTCTATCTCTCGCGGGGCTGCGACGTAACAATCCATTTAGCACCTGCACTTGAGCTGATTTCATAACTCCATCTCCGCGGTTGAATTGCCTTGTTTCGCGAAGTCGTCTTTACCCCTTTCTGTCTCTCAGTGTGGTTCCAAAAATGCAACTCTGCACGCTTCCTTGAGCTTTAATCAACTTCTGTTCCATGTTCTTTGTCAACGTCCATCTTTACGTTCCTTGAGTTAAATTTTCCAAAAGCACTTGAACATGGTCTCGTTGAACTCCTTATTGAATAATTTTTGACGCGACCCGCCTTCAATAACTGCAAGAGGTACACTTACTCTGCTGCGTTTTCGAGTTGTGTGGCTCCAACAGATATCGACGATTGTTCAGTGATATTGTTGCGTCGCTCCGATTTGTCTCAAGCCCAACGTTGCAGCCTCCTTCCCATCAGTCGTTATAATGACCATGTCGTCAGCACATCTTGGATGCTACATATTATCTCCCTTTAACAGTTGTGCCGTTATTTCCCAAATACTGCACATATTTTTGGAAACCTCTTCTAATATTAGTGTGAATAACTTTGACGAAAGCGTGTCTCCCTGTTTGACTCCACTACTAACATGTAGCAATTCTATTTTTTTAATAAATGTTATTATTTATATTATAATGCATGGAAATGTATATATTTATTTTTAGGCCTTTGAGCATTTGGATGACAGTATCATTTCCACCGAGTCTCAAGACTTTTCATAGCCTGCTACGGAGAGCCACAATTATTCATATTCGTGAGTATTTTCCAGAACCCTAACCCGAACCTACTCATGTGGTTGCACGGTCTCTAAATTTCCTTAATCTATTCCCAATGATCGTCACGAACAATTTATATGCGTCAGACAAGGGGCACAGTTACGAGCATAGTAATGGGCAGTGCATTGGAAATGCGGAGAAAGGTTTTAAAACAAGTAGTGAACTAATTGCCAGAGAAAAAATACATGTTTATGAAGAGGAAGGATATTAAAAAGAAAAAAATGTGTCAGGAAAAATGGAATGCACGGAGCTCTGTACAACGATTACAAAAAGTATAAGAATATATGAATAAACAAAGCAGGCAACCAGGGAAATATTCCTCAATCATTCTCCACTTCAAAAATGTTAATAAAACTCACTTCAAGAATTACAGACCCATTAGCCTCTTAGCACCTCCGATTAGCACGGCTGGCTACGTACGGTGCAAAAGAAGTTCAACATACAGCACATTATATCGTGTACTGTCATAAGTCTGTACATTTATAATAAATAAAAAATATCTTACATATTTTACCGTAATATGCATTAGGTTAACAAGGTATGGGGTTATAAAATATATATTAAATACTGTGCGTAACAGTTCACCCGACAACACATTGTGTCAAGTAAATGGCATTTTTAGATTGCAGTGCGGTGATATTTATGTTGTCGACAATTTATCTTCACAAATACCTGGTAATGCAATTTGGTTGTTGTATAGCTTCACTGCACAAAGTGATGCCTAATCCCCACAGGGCCAAGAAAGGACGATGTGTACAATGAGGCACTTGCAGAGAATGGACAGATAGAGTAAATTTTTTGAAATTTAATAATCGGTGCACTATATACAGCATGCAGTATATATCCATGTAGAAGGTATAGACATACTTGGTCATCCCTTCTGTATTCACAAATACAGCATTTATATGCCGTATGAAATACAAACTTCACCTTTATTTTTACTATACACCATAGAGAAGTGTGATACATCATGCCTATTACTGTAATTATGGCATAGCTACCACGAACAGGCTTCTATTCACGAAGCTGACTGATGCCAATTAACGTAATGTCGTTGTAGAGGGCCCACCTCAGGTGCAGTTGTGAATGGTAACCTGTGAAATTCATTTCAACGGTGTGCACCATTTCTGCAGGCTTCTCATTTTTATCAGCATATCATTGTTTGTGTCGAGGGCCCTGAAGTAGCAATCTACCTGGCCATCCTATTTGTCGAGTGAGGGTCACTCATTTAGCAGTTTTCTGGTTTACTCTGAGCGCTGTGGTTGCATATCCGGTGCGTACATCGCCACTCACATAATGTGGTGCTCAGCGCTAATGAAGGTTGCTCGTGAGTGTTGGCACGCAACACCTAATATGCGTGTAT